ATACATAGAGTTGGAAAAAAGAATTGGGGGGGGGGAGGGAGAACATGTAACTGATTACTATCAGATTAGATGAGCCGAGGTGGCGCAGTGGTTGAATGCAGCACTGCAGGCTACTTCAGCTGACTGCAGTTCTGCAGTTCAGCTGTTCAAATCTCACTGGCTCAGGGTTGACTCAGCCTTCCATCCTTCCGAGGTGGGTAAAATGAGGACCCGGATTATTGTTGGGGGCAATATGCTGACTCTGTAAATCACTTCGAGAGGGCTGAAAACCCTATGAAGCGGTATATAAGTCTAATTGCTATTGCTATTGCTAGATGGAGATGGAAACCTTGATGTTGAAGGTAGATTGTTGGCTTTAGCAAAACACAGTATGGACTATTAAGTAAATCTTAATAGTTCATGATCAAGTGATAAGACTGCTGAAAATAAATTCTTGGGTGCTACCTGAAGAAGTGAGCTGAAGAAAGAGTAGTGGCAGTTGTACTCAGTGCAAAAAACTCTCAACAGAACTGAAGAAGGATGGAAGATAAGGTCAAAGGCTTACCTGCTATAGAAAAGCCAGCAGATTAATCTGCTGTGATTATAGATGTCAACTAATGTAACTTTAAGCCTAGATAGAAATAAGTTTAGTATTTGAAAACATAGTCAAGATTACATCATTCTATCTATAGGAGAATATATTCAATATATGGCACAAGTCAATGTATAACACATTGTCCTCATTTGAGAATAAACAATGCAGATAATTGTGAAAGTTCTGAAGCTGTCTCCTACCAAACTTCAAACCTATGCTGGTTTTATTTTGTTTTGTTTTCATTGTTCCACCCAGGAAGTGATAATACATTTTAACAAATTCTTCAAAACAGCAAATATGTTTCTATTGTTTATTTTATTTTAACACATGCTTATCCAAGAATTTTATCTCCTAGTTTTCAGAAATACGTATGCATTTGAAGTCTCCAGTGCAGAAAGAGAAGAGAATATATGTGGCTCAGGTTTAATCTGTGCAACTCTTGGGGCTCTCTGACCTTGGCTGTAGGCTTGCAAACATTTCATTACCTAACTAACTAATAACAGTAATCCTAGTGAATGTGGGGTTTGCTTCCTGTTTATATACAGTAGGTTGCCTTTCCAATATTTGTGAGATTATTGCTTTTTCTATGGAAGTTCCTTGATTAGTATATAATTTTCTGCTTGATTGTTTAACTAGTCGTAATTCCAGCTTCATTTATTTATTTATCAAATTTCTATGCCACTCATACTAGCATGATTCAGTGTAGTTTACTGGTTGAGGATGTGCTCTGGTCTTATTTCCTTCTGAATTTTTTCATCACATGATGTGATACATTTATCTCTATGTATTTGTTGATTGCTGATTGGTCTGAATGTCAAGCTTCCAGGAATTCTGCAGTGTTTATGGTTTTACCATAATTTGGTAATTTGGTCTAGGATGCTCACAGTTTCTCATTTGAAACAATGGTTGAGTCTGTCCATGAGCTATGAAACTAAGGAGTTTTATCATGTATCCTATTCGTGGATCCTCTCGGCTAATATTTTCCCTATCAGTCCTTCATAGTGGCTATTATAGCCCTTATACTGTATGTAGTGGGTTATGTTAATACTGCCCATTCGGACAGTTGCTGAAATTGAGGAATTGCTTTCATTTCAACAGTGACATTGATGTGCAACTGTCCTTTCCATATAAGTTACTAACTCCTTAAAAAGTTCAATCTTCACTCATCTCAAAGGAATTATGCATTATCTGATTCTAGAAGGAATTATGTTGTTGCCAGGGTAGGGGATGGGGTAGGGGGTATTATTATTATACAATTGTATCACAGCGGCCAGTTGTTTCGCTGGATTTGGCATTGGTTACTAGTCGGGCCCCACCCAGGGCCCTAGAACATCGTAACGTATTTTCGTAATATGCGTGCAGATCAAAGCAGTGCGGCTTTTTGCATTTGACTGATGGTGATTTTGTCAATTTGTAACTGTTTTAAATGTAATTCCAGTGCTTTTGGAATAGCACCCAGTGTGCCAATTACCACTGGAATTACCACTGCTGGTTTGTGCCATAGTCGTTGAATTTTGATTTTTAAGTCCTGGTATTTTGCGATTTTTTCATGTTCCTTCTTGGCGACCCTGCTATCACCTGGTATTGCGATGTCTATGATTGTGACCTTATTTTTCTCAACCAATGTGATTATTATTATTATTACTATTATTATTATTATCATCTTTATATTGTGTTTTTATATCCTATAAGCCGCCTTCAGTTTCCATGTGCAAATATAAATTTTCTAAATAAATAGCTTATATAATTTCTTTTCTCTTTATGTTTTCACATTGTACTAGGATGGTGCAGAAATCAATGAATTGGTATAATTGGTGTTTGACTCATAGGCCAACCTTTGGATTTATTTTATTTCATTTTGTTGTTTTTCCTTTGCTTTTGCTGATGAAAAATACATTACTTCTCTATGGAATCAAAATACTAACTTTTATTTTATAATTCTATTACAATTGCCATCTTCTGTTCATATGTGAGCTTTCATTCTAGTTAGAAAAATGAACTTAATATTAAACCTTACATGGGTAGAGAAGAAGAGGGCATGCCCATAATCTGTCTATATAGCCCTTCAGGATTCAACACTGTTCTCTTTGCTGTTTGATATCTACATGAAACAGTGAATAGAATGGAATAGAAGAGAAGAGAGTAGAGGAGAGCAGAATTCTTTATTGACCAAGTGTGATTGGACACACAAGGAATTTTTTCTTTGGTTAAAGTTGGATGACTTTATCTGTTTGTTCAGTGTACTGATACTAGCTCTATATCTCAACATGGGGTTGACAGGTGAAGCTGTCAATGTATTAATTCAATGCCTGGAGGTTGTTCAACTATTGGGAGAAATGGACTTTGGCTCAGTCCTAATAAGACTGAGTGCCTTTAGTTGTTCCCCTCTCCCCAGTTCAGGTATATGATCTTGGATGGTGGTGCACCTTCCCATTTAAGGCTGGTGCACATGTTGAGAGACCTCTGGACTCACAACTGTGGCCAAGAGGATTTACACAGGTTCATCTTGTGTATGAGTTGCTGCTTTCTTCGACTGAGAGGTCCTTCAGATGGTCATTCACAATCTGGTCACCTTTTGATTGGACTATTGCAATGTGGTCTACAGAGAACTTTCCTTGAAGCTACAATTACAAAATGCAGCAGCATAAGCAGTAACAGGCACTAGGTGTTATATCCATGTGTCACTGCTATGGGTTGCCAGTGGACTTCTGGGTGCAATTCAAGAAGCTGATCATCACCTGCTAAGTCCTTCATGACACAGATTGTTGATCTGTTATTCCTTTAGGTCCTGGCAAAGCAAGTGCAGTCCAAGTCCTTTCTATGAAACATTGTCATTTTGCAGGGCCTTAAAAAAGCATTGCTGCCTCGGCCCTGTAGAAAAGCATTGCCCTAGAGATTTAAAGAGTGCCCTTTCCCCTGGAATTCTGAAAAGCTCTTTAAGACCTGCCTCTGTTCCAGGGCTTGGAGTTAATGTGTTCATTGATGCACTTCAGAGGTGGGTTCCTACCAGTTCGGACTGGTTCGGCCGAGTAGGTAGTAACTTGGCCTGCCATGCCCCTGGTTCTGTCGACGGCGGCGGCATCTTGATTTTTGATTCTGCACATGCACAGAACAATCTTCATTGTAGAACTTTAATTTGTTTTCCTTTTCTGATGTGTGCATGCACAGATTTTTAGGTGCAAATGTGCGCATGCACGCAAATTTTTTTGCATGCTAAACTGGCAGTACAACAACCCACCCTTAATGCACGTCTGCATCATATTTGATTCACCTCAGCCTCTATCATATTTGTAGGATTTATTATTTTGTTTTCTTCCTGATTATGTTTGTTTAGTTTTTTCTGAAATCTATAATCTCATCTAGTTGAAGCCATCCAATATTTCAGCGTGATTTCTTGAAAAGGGAAGATAAAACTGGGTGTTATCATTAAATGAACTTCAGTTTACAGCCACCTAAAACTCTTTATAGTGATTTTGAGAAAATATTAAATAAAATATCTCATACTGTAGTTCTTAAGCTGTTTAAAAACAGGACTCTAATCTTCCTAAACGAACCAATGACCAATCATGTTTGGATAGAAGCATTGTGAAATACTTCTGCCAAACTAGCAGTTCGAAAGCACCTAAAAAAGGCAAGTCGAAAAAATAGAAACCACCTTTGGTGGAAAGGTAACAGCATCCCATACACTGTCGGCGTTTAGTCATGCCGGCCACATTACCACGGAGACGTCTTCAGACAGCACTGGCTCTTCAGCTTTGAAATGTAGATGAGCACCGACCCCTAGAGTCAAGAATGACTAGTACATATGTGCGAGCGGAATCTTTACCTTTACCTTTTAGTGTGAAATAAATCCTTTATTCAAAACATACTGTAGACCCAAATGATTCTCCACTCCCCCTTTCTTTTATTAAAAAAAAATCCCATAGAGTACCCAAAGCATTCGCTATTCCACTACTGGGCTTAAATCTGCATTGAACTTGATTGAAAAGAACATTTTCATTCAAAATGTTTCTGAGTCACTTATGCAGCCCGCCAAAAATTTAGCAACCTTCATGAGAAAAGCTTTTGCATGCTTCTCTCTAAAGAGAATCCATTGACACTTATGAGGGATTAATTTTGACAGGATCATACTTCAGTCAGTGTTTTATCATGTTAACCAAACTCTGAGTGTAGTCTATACAGTTATTAATGAGATGAAAATGATCCTTGAGGAAAAGTCTTATCTTCTTTGTCTAATGATGACAGCAGTATAAATTATTTTTATCTTAATTAGAATAAATCATTAATTCAATGCACATGGTCATCCATCTCACTAGAAATTCTAGGCACTAAAGGGCATATCAAAAAGATAATACAAAACATTAAACAATAAAACATTTGAAAGCTTCAGCATATCTTTATTTTACCTGTGCCTTTTCTTTTACAGAGAAAGGATGCGGCAATCTGCAATGTTCGAATTATGCCAAGGAATGCATCAGATCAGCCTTCAATTTGTTCGTCTGCAGCTTAGCTTTGAAGAATACACCATAATGAAAGTTTTGTTGCTGTTAAGCACAGGTGATTTTCCTGATGGTTCCAGTTACAATTTTTAAGTAATATAATATCGTATATTATTGCAATAACTGACTAATCAGCATCCAATAAATTAAAAAAGAAAATTTTGATTTTAAGAACTGGAAGGGTCTTCAGTGTTTTAGCCTTAACATCTATAGCATTTTTTTGAAAATCAGGATTGATTACTTTAATGCATTATGTGATAGCTTTGAAGTTAGTTCAAACTATAGTTCACAGGCTCCTAAAAAGGGCTGGTAATTGAGAACAGACATCCTAGCTTCAGTACTGAGATCTACCAAATCAATCCTGTTATAATTTGCAGCCCACAGTAAGATAGCATTAACTGTTCCATACAGCATAAATCTGTTTTTGTTTTTACTTTTGAAAACCTAAGTGTATTAAAGCTGAATTCAACATGGCACATGCCCAGTTTCTCTTCATGGCATGATAATTTGCATTTCTATAAGATTAATTTGCTTGATTTATAAAACAAAATACTGCATGCTTCAAAGTAAAGTCTAGCATTGTAGCCTGTGAGATTCATGTATGTTATTACTAAAACACAAGTTGCAATCCAGTATTTTGTTTGGAAGTTTGCATATATGCTTGAACTCTACACAGAGAGAGAGAGACACACACACACAGACACACACACACACACACTCAGTAAAATATCCTCTCACAATTCCCATTATGCCCTCCAACATATGTAGAATGTAGGTTTCTCGAATTAAAGAAAATATTCACCTAAATGAATTTGCTTTTGTGATAAGCTTATATTTAAAAATGATCTTCAGAATGGTCCACCCAAGTATTAGAAGATGATTGACAACAAGAGGCTTTCTGTTTTTCAGGATACCTCCATTTATCTATCAACTTTGAGTGTGATTTGATCCGTTCACTAATCTAATGCACATACAAAGTGTTTGGGTAAAATTACAAGAAATATTATATATGCCATATAAACTAGTAAAAAAGCTTGTTTGTTTATCTAACATTTTGTTTACAATATGATTTTATCAGGGTTGTGCATGAATAATCTGGTTAAAATTTGCTCTTCAGAATGTCCTGATATGCTGGTTCTATTTTAGCCATGAAAGCCAAACTGGGTGACTTTGGGCCATTAACTCTCTCTCAATCCGGCCCACCTCATAGGGTCGTCATTGTGAGGAAAATAGGAGGAGGAAGGTGTGCTGAAAATGTCCATGGGATTGAGTAAAAATAATAAAGGAGGGATACAAATAAATAAATCTCTTCTACTACTACTTATAGCAGTGCTTCTCAACTTGGCAGCTTTAAAATGGGTGGACTTCAACTCCCAGGATTCCCCCAATCTAATGCTGGCTGGGAAATTTTGGGATTTGAAGTTCACCCATCTTAAAACTGAAAAATACTGCATTATAGTTTGATTATATATTGAATTATAATACTTATACCTTATAATTGGTGTTCCAAATTATGCACAGTATTTATAGGACAGAAACACTTATCATAGATTGTGTTTAACATGCTTGATGTCAACACTGAAAGTTTAGCAAAATATTAGGATCTGCTTCCTTCACTGAAACCATAACCTGAAATAAATTACTTCCAAAACTAAGTTGATATAGGGCAGATAGGAGATAAGGAAAAGAAGCTTAATAAGCCATTTTTTAAATTTTATCCAAATAGTATTGTTTTAAAATAAAGAAAAATAATGAATGGCTAAGTCAAAAAAGAAAGAGGAAAAGATTTGAATCCCCAAATTTTGAAAGAAAGGAAGAAAGAAAGGAAGGGAGGTTTTTAAAATAATATAAATAAATTAATTTCCTAACTGCCCTTAAGCTGTGCTCATTAAAGCATTTTGTCATTTCTGCTTTTAATTCTTTAAAAATTCCTTAAAATATATTTATATTTGCCTCTACATGGTATGCAAGGAAGCTTACAATTCTTGCTTGAACTTCAGTTAAGTTTCAGAATATATGTTGTTAATTTTTCCAATATTGCATATTTATATTTTAAGTTTCCAGTCTGCTATCATTGGTAACATATCATTTTTCCAGTGTTGTGGTAGGTCTTTCCTTGCATTCTTGTCGACGCAATATTTTAGTAAATTGTGGGTGTTGCGTGATATTTTCTTAATAAGTTTAGGAATTATATCTAGTAATAATATATATGGTTTAATTGTATACTATCTGAATACTGCTGTGTGTTTTCAGTATTCTTAAGTTGTTTTACATGTACACTACATGCAGTACAGGTAGTCGTTGACTTACGATGGCCATTTTAATTGCTGTTCAGAGTTACAATGGCCTCAGAAAGGTTGGTTAATGGTTAGTAAAGCCCTTCAGGTCCTGGTCAAATGTTGCATAAGCTCCCCACACAGCCACATGACCATATATTTGATGTTTGGCACTGGCTAACATTTTTGACAGTTGCAGCAGCCCATGGTCCTGTGACTATGATTTCCATCCTTTTTTGCCGGTTTGCAGCATTGTTTCCTTTTAAAGTTTACTTTATTGTCATTGCACCTCGCACAACGAAATTAAATGCCATCTTCAGTGTACATTATACATAAAAAAGAAAAAAGAAAAACACACATCCTTCACATTCTATACAATTGAATTGAAACCCCCAATATTGCATTAATATTGCATTATATAGTAGAATTCAGTATAGTTGCTGGTCTAGGGTAGAAGCTATTTTTCAGCCTATTTGTCCTTGTTTTTATTGTCCTGTCCCATCTGCCAGATGGTAATAGTTCAAAAAAGAGTGTCCAGGACAAGATGGATCGTGAAATTGGGAGAGTAGGTTTATAATTATAACTCTGTAATTTGCTTAATGACCATATGATTTGAACTTATGATCACTCTATTTTCTTAGCAACTGCTTGTTTTAATTGGTTGTTGTTTAATCATATGACCAGATTCTGGAAACTGTTTAAAAACTTGAATAGTAGCCACAGGAAGGAATTTTCTTTCAATTACCATAGAAAAAACCACTTATTATATCTCAATCATCCCCCTCCTCTGGTCTACAGAAGAGGAAAGATAGCTAAATGCCAAATGTAATGATCAAAATGAGAAGCCAGTCGGCTTACATCCCAAAATGTAGAGTTTTGATTGTGTTTCTGATTATCAGTTTTTACAGATTTAATTCTGTGGCTGCTAGAGTAATAATTTATAGATTTGTCTTTAGAAAAATATACACATCATTCCACTCTTATTTTATGCCAATTTTATCTAAATTGTATATAGAACATAGACATATTTATAAAATGGGTTGTATATTTAATCTCATTGTTTAAACTTAAAACTTATACCCATCTCTCTGCTGACTGAACCATCAATGGACAAGTAGAAAGAGGGGAAAATATACTTGTTTAATCACATTTAGTTGGTTATATATAAATATATATGCACTGAAATGCAGTGACGTGCAGTGAGGTTTATGGCTGGTGAGGCACTGACACAGGGATTTCAAATTTTTTTAGACTTGTGTACTTCAACTCCCAGAATTCCACAGCCAGGCATGCTCAGTTCCGATTTAAAGCGACAGCATTTGTTTTTCTCCTTTGAGAAAAAGTTTTCCTAAATTCTTTTTCTTCTCCCTCCCCCTCCTTCCTCCCTCTCTCCCTCCCTCCCCCCTCTCTCAAACAGACATACACACACAGAGAAGTTGGATCCCTCTCTCACTCACTCAATCTCAAACAAACACAAACACAGAAGTTGGATTGGATATATTTTCCAATGGCTTGAAAGCAGCTCCTGTGCCATACCCCCTCCCCCCATTCCCCTGCTGCCTTCCCATCTGAGCCTTTGATTGCAGGTGGAGCCACATTGCCTTTTCAAACTTGTAATCAGTGAAGCTGGGCTTATATACTTTTATCCAGGTGTGTGTGTGTGTGTGTGTGTGTAAAGGCAACGTAGCTCTGCATGCAATCACGTACCTTTTCCAGCTGTTTCAGAGAGGATTTCAACTCTGCTCTTGCCTGCCATCACAAAAAGAAAAAAAATGTAAAAGGAAAACAACAAGAGCTGGAGGCTGAGCTAGTTGCTGACAGAGTCACCGTGTGGATGACTCTGCTTAACTGTTTAAAAAAGCTTCTTAAAAAAACTCCCTCTACAGGAGGCAGGAGAACGACGTGCCTCATTGCGTCAGGACTTTTTCGGCTTTTAACCCTTACTTAACTCTGCTCAAGTGATCATAAAGTCAGACTAGATGAGGCACCTCATTCTCCTGCCTCCTCATGTAGTTTTTAGAGGCTTTTTTAAACAGTTAAGCACTAAACAGAGTCATCCATTGTGACTGGCAGCAACTAGCTCAGCCTTTTTCCTTTTACATTTTTTTTCTTTTCATGATGACAGTGGTGAGGCTCTGCCTCCCCTGACTGCACGTCCCTAGTGAAATATATATTACTGATGTATGATATCATTTGTATATTCAGAAGATCCATTTGATTTTTTTAAAAAAGAACAGTATTTGATGCAGTGTTGTTGGGGTGTCTGTATATATACACACATACATACATACACATGGATACATACATATATAAATGATTTGAACTATTTGTTATCATCATACATACATACATACATGCATGCATATATACATACATACATACATAATGGTAATATATATTATATTATACATACAGTATTATATTGTATATATTCAAACATTTTTCCATGAAAACTATTTTGGGTAATTAATTAAAATGATGAATAGTGTGGTAGGGAAATTTCAATGCATTCTATAGGTCAACAGTAAAAGTATGACAACATTGGACAGCAAGAATACTTGATTGAACAAAAAAGAGACAAAAGACCAGAAAACGATATGATAACCCAACTATGTTTATGATGTTTTGTGAGATTGATAGAGAACAAGGTAATTAATTGTACAGCTCTCCTTACTGACACATCAAAAATGCTGGAAGCAATGTTGATCTCAGAGACTGCATAGGTGCAAGTTGCCTTCCTGCATCTTCTATAATTAGATTTTCCCATTGTCCAAAACCAATT